GCGGCGCGCCAGGAAGTCCGCCACGACCTGCTCGAGGGGATTGCTCTGCACGACAACTAACAGCGCGAGCGTGAAGTAGTCCTTGTTGAAGATGTCAATCCGCAATCGTTGGCCGGCCTGCGGGCGATTGATGTACTGGGTGATATCCAGCGATAAAAAGGTCTTGGCGACCTCTTGCTTGCGCTCTGGCCACGTGCGCCGCCAGGAGGCTAAAACGCACTGATCATTCACAGAAATGGTGATCTCCTTCGCGGTAGGCCAGCGCGCGGGAAGGTTGGGATGGCGAAAGGGAATCAAATGAATCCGGAGCCGACGCGTGGCGACGGCATCGACATATTGCACAGGAATATCAAACTTCATCGAATAGCTGCCATAGCGCAGCTGAAAGCGGCGAACAATACTAAGAATCGAAAAGAAAGGTGAGGAGCGTTCATTAAGGTGCATTATTTCAGTGCTGCTAGACACTGGTGGGGATGAGATTGCCGTGGAAGATCCGACAGGAGCGCTCGTTGGGGGTATCATCCCCGCTGCTGTCGATGAAGTGACGTCGACGTCATTAAGGGGCAGTGGGATCAGCGTTTTGTGAAAAGAGGTTGTGAGAATCCTATCCTTAGGATATCCTAACATACTAGGCCCAGGTTCTGTGTCTAACATCGGTGCCGTCTCGAGAGACTTGGAGACTTGAACGGGATTAGAACTCGATAGACAATTTTCAGTGGCAAGACCAGCTTCGAAATGTGCGGTTAAACTCGCGGGAGGGACGGAGTCTGGGAAATCGGTGATGTGATCCACAATGGGCGGAGCTGGTCTTAAATGACGACTCTGGCCATTGCGATGTGTTTGGTACGATTTGGCAATCGCCAGCGACTCCTCTTCCGTAAAACTGCTCCTGACGTTGCGCCTATTTCCATCCTCGTCAAAGGTATCGGAAGGCGCATGTGAGGGGGAAGAAACCGGTCGATTTATCAGTGGCAATTGGTTTAATTCCAGAAATGGTTCGTGTAGTCGATCTCGATTGAGTACCCTCACTGCGGCAGCGGCCGCACGCGAGAGATCCGTTTTTCGGCCGGTGACAGGGAAACTAGCCGCCTCACGTAGCTCACCATGCTCTAACAGAATATCCCGCATTTCCTGCATGATCCGATGGATATCCTTTGCGAGGTACCAATCCTGCAGCTTTCCTTCCGACACGATCTCTTTAAACTCCTCGAAGTCGATGGAGTTCGGAATGACGCGGCCATGCAATCGGCACCAATCCCCTTCGGTTATGCCCTTGGGAAAGACACTATTATTGCATTCGGTCGTTTTACGACGCACGTTCATGAGCTCAAATGTTATATAAAATTGTGCTTCAATAAAGAGAAACACACAACAAAAAGGAAATTAACTGAGTCGTGTGTATTAACGCGGGACAAAGACTTTTGACGAATCAAAAGGCTCAATACCTGTGAGATAACCAAGGGATAGTGTCAGGGGGGAAAAAAGCCGCTATGGGTTTGATCCCGAGTTTTATTTCAAACTTATCTTATCTTGTGATTTGGATATACGAAAATGTAAATCATGTATAACGGTGCGCGCATTACGCCTTTGGAAGAAAATGCAGAAATGGGAAAATGTATATAAAACCGAATTACGCATCACTTATTTAAAGCCTGATTCAGATAAACTCCTATAAATCAATGGCACATAGAAAAGGTTAAAAGATTCACAAGGTTACATTTAAAGGGTAAAGAGGAAACATTCAGACTAAATAGATCATCGAAACCTTTTTTCTCACTATTTCAAAAACTGTTCTGGCGTTTCCATGTGAATGGAAAAGCATGTAAATTTCTTCACCGCTATAAATTATAGCTTAAAATAAAATATAGAGAACTAGCAAATGTACATAATGATAATCAACATGAGAATAAAATTTTACATCAGAACAGTGCATAGCAACTTACCAAACTATAATATCAGTCGCGGTATATAATCGAGATTTACAAAACGGTCATAAAGAAAGCACTCAACACGGGATACAACCCTCTCTTTCAAATGTTTCTTTAATGATAGACCTTTTCCATGTGCAAGAGAAAAAGGAACGCACCCGAATACCTAATAAAAAAATTTCCATTTTTTGGCGGGTGAGACCATAGAAGCATTTATAAAGACTTAAATATACTTCTGTTAGATCGGTTATATATTTACTTTAGGAAAAGCAAGACGAGAAAAAAGGCTTTATAAAGAACACATAGAAAGTAGAAAGTCAGAAAACGAATTAGCCT